CTTTATCGGGCACTTAGGACCATTTTTCAACCGTAGTTTTTAGCCCTTCTGCTCTCATATGAAAGCTCAAAGACCCAGGGAGTTGATCCAGGCAACGATTTACACAATCTCACCATTTTGGGGGCAAAACAATCTCCTTTTTCAAAAGATACTGTTGGAGACACTTTTAATGCTAATGAGCTGGTCAAAAATTCTCACTTGAATTACTGGTCTGCACCCAGGAACGCGTCGACGTACGTGACACGTTTGTGTAACGTAGGCCTATGCAATATGGCGTGTGTATCAACCTGACACGAAAAAAGAGGAAAAAATCCCTCTTATCGTCCGAAATGGTCATTGTGAACTGCTGTGTTCCATTGTGTTTATCAAGCACTCAATGAACGCCAGAGCTGCGTTTTTTAACTTCCACGGGTCCGCAAAAGGCAACAGATTTGGATAAGTTCTGTGAGAAATAAGGTCATTAAAGCGAAGTCCAAGTGGACCTCTGTCTGTTTGCAGTCTACATTTTGTAGGCGGAGACAAAACTTACGATGCACAGGAGCCATCGATTTTCCCGTAAACAAGTAAGTGACGGGGGGCTGTTTCCCGGCAAAATTAACAAAAAGAAGCTGCTTACCTCTTCAGACATGATTTGTACAAAAGTGTTTACATATTTGCAAATCAATTAATTCCCTACATGTCAGTCCACGTGCTTGCACCTATAAATGACGCGATCGGTTCATATCAGCTCTTTGATTTCCGGAGGCGAAAACTAGACTAGCAGAAAAGCTTTTTGTTCCCAGGGCACGGTAAACATTATTTTTATTTAATTCCTCTTGCCAACTGATTTGTTTGAAGTTATCACAAAAGCCTTGGAAGTTTTCACATCATGTATTACTTGTTTGTTCCCTGTAAGAGTATAGTTCTCGTCACTAGTTTCCATTCCATGATTTTCACTCTGTAGTCTACGAGGCGCCTCGCCCTTTATGACTTTATTAGTTTATCAAACGAAAATATAAATGACGAAACTAATATATATAGGATGAAAATAATACACCTAAAACGAAACAAAAATGTAGAACGAAACTGTGAGGGGCCACTCAAAATTTTCAATGTTTTGTAAATTTCGACTTTTTCAATTTTTTGAGAGTTTTGTTTGGATCACTGGGGCTGAATTCTTTTCTGTTATGACAAAAACATTCAAATGTTGTGTTATGGACAATGATTAATGTTACTCTTGCTACTTTTCCTATTGTCTCAGGCTTTGCAAGCCATCGCTCTACTTTTTGCCATGTTTGCAGCTGTTCAAAAATCAAAATCTTTTCCGCGTGTTCCTGTAAAACCCCGACCAGGCGGTGGTGTGTGATCATGTTTCGAGAACAGTGTTCTGCAGTCGTCTTCCCGCCGTTCGAGCGTCAAGAACAGGCCACCACCTCCTTCCACGATGTTTCACTCGTGCATAATAATGTACAGGCAAGGTCAACCTGTATGGAAATGAAGTTGAAAAACATTGCGTTTGGTAATATTGACAAAAAGATAATAAATAATCAGTGCTCTGAAATATGTGATTGCCAAGCTTTCGGTAACTGGGTACCTTTACCGAAACTAAAGCTCAGCAATCACATATTTCAGAACACAGATTATATATTATATTTTTTGTCAATATTCTGATCACGGTGCTTTGCAGCCGTCATATTTCTCTGTGTTTTTGGAATGCTTGCGCGGCGCACGCTACATGTATTTCAGGCAAGTCAGAAAAACATTTTTCATGGATTTTAATGTAAGAAGTGAATTTCTATTTTCAGTTTATTTCCATGACCCACCCGCTATTTCGAAAAAAAGTCGAAATAAAAAAAAAACACTGAAAATTTTGAGTAGCCCTCAATAAATATAAAACAAACTAATGAATAAGCGCCACCGCCTCGACGCCAGACCGGTTGTGATATAGCGCAAATGGAAGGGTGCATTCCACCAAATGGTTGTATTTCTGCGCGCAAGCTCGTGAATATTTTGTGATCCCACATAGTTTTTACAATAAGACATGCCATACTCAGGAGGAATCAAAGAAGTATTTCTACAAATCCCAAATTTGGGACTGATATTTTCCGATTCGGGGTATTTCTTTCAAAAAAGCCCCAAATTTCGGGCCTATTTTTGGATAGAAGCGCGCGGCTACATTCAGAGCTGAGCGCATAGTTTTACAACTAGCTATTTGGGGCTATCTTAGGGGAAAGGCAAATGAAAAAAAATTGTCGTGGCTAACCCCATAAAATTGAAACGATAAGTGATCTTCTGGTCACAATCTTGAATTTCCAGTGAGAGAAAAAAACAAACAAAAAACCAGAGCCCAACCTCTTAACGAGTCAACAGGCGGCGCTATTTCGGCCTGATATTTCACTGTTTTCTATGCGCGTATTTGGTGAAGTGCAACCATCGACCATGTACAGTTCGCGATCGCGGACATCGTGCAGCGTGCGCGCCGTGCCCGACACGGAAAGTTAGACCATTGGGCGAACAACACCTGATGGCCGTGCACAAACCTGTTAGACTTGTCTGGGGGAAAAAAGTTTCTAATTAAATGCTTCGGATGTTTCCTTGCTAAATTTTACTTGTTGGGGGCGCGTAATCACTTTCTTGCGGCACTTGTATCATTTTAAGGGAAAATTAGTGTTGTCCGTATCTCAGTCCCCCGACATTCTTGATGATGACAGTGGACGTCACAATACCACACACACTTTACTTGTCATAATAGAGGATTTGTCGGAACATGGAGAGCTGTGGTCCTGGACCATGGCTCGAGGGTTGAAAGTGTGAACGTTCTCGTACAGGACGTATATGTACTTGACAACTCCTTCAAACCCTACTTTTCGTGAATTAGTTGCTACTAATGTAGCACTGGCAATGGACCCAGGCGTACTGCGAACTAGTGCCAGTGATACTCTCCTAATGACACTTGAAGCAGTGCCCCTGGCTGACGCCAGAGGCCGACTGTTGACGATATATAGTCACTGAGTCACAATCGGCATGGCTGCAACAAGCAACGTTACAGCGTGGCCTAACCACGGACGTGTATAATAAAATCTGGACTCGCAATGCCCTTAATCAGCTTATAGAGTCATTGAATCCACTCGCAGCCATTTTACGGAGCCGAATACAAAGCTTTCCTGGTAATGCCCGCCTTTGTTCTTCCTGACGTCAATAGTAGGCAGCCAACCCACGCCTTTGTATTCGGCTCGGTAAAATGGCCGCTGGTTGGCTTCTTTTTCATACAAATGCGTTGCAAGTCCAGTTTTTTTTTATATACGTCCGTGGGCCTAACCCACTGATCTCTATACACTGGATAGGCAGCTCAGCAGTAACTGCCTGTGTGAATACGGCCGTTTCACAATAGTGCGCAACCAAGAATTTGCAACGCGTCTGCCAATCACAGTGCGCGAAATCTGTCGACCAAACGTACGCACGTTTGGAAAGGGGCGACAGATTTCGCGTGTTGTGATTGGCCAACGCGTTGCAAACTCTTGGTGGCGCACTATTGTAAATCGCCAGTATTGAAGTGACCGCACCGCAATTAAGGATATTCAATACAATGGCCTCGAACTTCAGTCCATTCACGAAAGTGCATTCATGCACGGCGCTAAAGCTGGTGACTTGGAAAGCGCATTGTATTTACTAGCCTAAGATGCATGGCCGCGCAGTCGCTTCAATACGCGGAGCAGAGCTGCCGATACAATGTAAAGAGATCAGTGGGCCTAACCATGATGCAGGGCTTTCTAAATTGATCGGTCGGTAGATGGCGCTTCGTATATGTTTTACGTTTTCGTTCTATATACAAATGTACATGTATTTTTACGTTTTCGTTCTATAAATTTTACATTTAACTCTATATTACCACCGGCACGGGCCTGGCGTCGAGTAGGAGGTGCTTCGTCCTATTAATTAGTTTCATTCTATATTTGTTAGTTTCTTTTTATGTTTATTACTTTCGTTCTATGTATACTAGTTTGGTCCTGTACATATTAGTTTCATCCAGTATATATTAGCTTTGTCCTATCTATTATTTTCGTTCTAAATTTATTACTTTCGTCATTTGTATATCAGTTTTGTCGTATATTTATTAATTTTTGTCCTATATATACCATCTTTGTCCTTTAAACGTGCTTTCGTCCTTTATGTGTGTGGGTGTGTGCGTGTATGTGTGTCACAGTACTTGTGAAAGGTGCAGACGGAGCTCTTCTATTTATTAACACAGCCACGAATCGAGGTCGGATTGTAAATAGAGGACGTCCTTAGCTCGCAATAAGGTGAAATTTGAGGCCACAGTCAGCAGTTATGATGGTCAGCGAAATTTCAAGGCGTTTGGAGGCCGTCTTCGGTGTACGCATTTAACACGCCAGGTATTTAAAAGCACCCGCTCTAAATGGACAGTTTCGGCGCCTCCCTGGATGGAATAGCGCCCTCTCTAGCTCTCTTCCTACGCTGGCCCACGGACGTCATGTGACGTCCGTGCGCTGGCGCAGGCCCACGCGTACCACTGATCTGTATCAGCGGGGGTACGGGTGTACGTGTCCGCCTCCGGGCCGCATCGCTGAGCACAAAAAAGCCTTGGGGACGCATAACCCCAGCATATTTAAAGCCCCAAAACTGCCCAGAAGCATCATAGCGTCACCTTGCCGGCACGCCTGTGGACTTCTGCAGCCGTTCTGAGATGTAGTTTTCTTCCAGTGGAAAATATGGTTTGTGAAAACAATTTCATTTGAAATAGAATTTTGAGCATGACCAGACCCTATCCGTGCAGTTTACTACATCATTACATTATATGGCCCTACTAGTACTACCAGCGTGGTTAAAGCATGGCTACTAGTACTACTACTAGTACTAGGGAAGTGACTAGATACTAACCCGTGAAACCTGGTCT